ACTGTACATCTCTGCACCCCTGTGCACCCCTATGCAGCCTTTCTTCTCTCGTGAATTCCTGAGGCAAATAAAAATTGGTGCCAACAACCAACAAATAAGTGTTTGGTCGGAACATGACACTAACATCTCGGTCTGAAATGGTTCATTTCACTTCACAGCCTCGAAGATCGGGACGCACACCAAGTTTAATTTGGAGGCTCACTTCAGATGCACAAAAAGCCACAAAACTGGAGATGAGGGAACACAGGACTAAGACCCAAAGAAGCCAAAATGCATGTTTTGTCCACCGAAGTGTTACGAACCTTGATGAGTGGGGTGCGGCCGAAGAAGAACCCGAACATGTACGCCATGATGTCATTGCAGATCACACAGGAAATTGGGACGATGAACCTAGATGGGAGAATAATCAAACCATTGGAAAGTGCCAAGATCAGACAATTCCAAGACTTAACTAAATAAGCAGTTGCTTCATAAGATGCTTTGCAGTGCCATCACATCAACGCCTCCCCCTCCAATGCAATGCAAGGAGCAACCACTTGAAGCTCCTAGGAAAATCTGGGGGATTACTCTAGTGCTCTGGACTAAAAAGCAGGTCAGGTACCCAGAATGGCCTGTTTTAAGCACATTTTCTTTTGCCACACGTGACACGCTGTTAGATAGTCACCCCCTCTCCCCCCGCCAAAGAGGCTGCATTTAGCTGTAAGCAGGCTGCTCCCAAAGCATTCTGGGCTGGTCGTGGCACACAGAGGAACACGCAATCTTAAAGTGGCCAAAATTAGTTCCTGGCCCTGCTGGTTTTGGGAAGACCACCAAAGGGGCTTCCCCTCTGCACAGCAGCCAGAGTAAGGTGGCAGATTGCAATCGCCTTCCTTTCACAGTGCTGCTTTTACCATTATGCTGACAGCATTGCCCCAAATCAAGTGCCGAGCAGCACTTTCCCATCCATTTGCTAGACGTGGGTATAAAGAGCAAGCGTCTACACAGGCCTGGCACTGCCTGAAAGGTCCCTGCACCCCACTGCAGTTTTTAGATGCTTCTTTACAACAACTCTTCATACTGCTCAAGTAGCACAAAGCAAGTCCTAAGCTGCTCAGGTATCACTCAGTCTTTTGCTTTTCTATTCTGAACAGGCTGGTCCCTCACAGGAAGCACCTTCTCCTTGGATATTGTTTTTTTTAAAGAACAGTTTTAACTCATCAGGCTGTCGTTTGTTTCAGGCTGCAGAAATCAAAGCAACTCACCATATCATTCCTTCAAACAGGTTGTGAATGATGAGATGCGACTGGGTAACAACAATTAGCAACGTCACATGGGTCCATCCAAACTGGAAGAGAAGACAGCATGCAGTCCAGCCTGCCTAGAGACCCTGCCCGTACACATCGCTGGCAGAAATCAGATGCTGTTAGCTACCTCTCAGACAGAGAACGGCTCATGCACATGTGCATTTCTAGCATGCACCTTCACCATGACAAACACCAGGAGTCACGAAGAGCAGGGAACAGTCACCTGTTATGGGCATGTTCTTCAGCTCAAGAGCTGAAGAGGTGACCTTCATTGGGAAGACTTCTGCTGGACCAAACGCTCTTTAGCCCACCCCTATCCTACACATCTCACTCAGCCTTCTGACTATATAAGAGCAGAAGACTGATAGATATCCAAGCCATATCCCTGTGTGCTGAACATATTGGAAAGCAAAACTAGCTGCATCAACAGTCAAACACAAGCAATGCCTTACTGATGTTTGGGAAAAGGAGGACATAGCCAATTAACCCTGGTGGCCATCTACCCTCAGTACAAGAGTACTTGTGCAGCCCTCTCAGCTTGCAGAAAGTTTCTTAACAGCATCCACAAGAGCAGAGAGAAGAGAATACATGTTTGCAGGGAAATTCGGTCAGAGCCACCTTCCTAAAAATACAGTCTGCTCACAGTAACTTGTCTTCCAGGCAGCGTTACAGTGCACAACCAGCACAAAAGCATCTACTGACACGTATTCCTCTACACAACATTTTCAAGCAGCCTACACTATTCATTCTTCTGCCTCCAACTGGGGGCAGCCAGGCCCTGCATTTAACCTTACCATGTAGAACTGGAGGCGATAGTGTTTCTTCACCAGACTCAAGACAAACATGCAGAAACCTGATGAGAGACAGAAGGAAAGTAAATGGTGGGAATGTATCTTCAACAGTCAGAAATACTTTTTTTCCATGACATTGCCTAGCTCCTTAGGTTCTTTATTTGAATAAAGCAGAAATGTGGAGTGGGAAAATGCACTACTTTGGAAGTCACAAAATACCTTTGCCTACAAGCAGCACTTGGACAGATAAACAATCAAGCCTGGCTGTCCCATAGAGATTGGGGAGTTTTCTTCTACAGCGCCTCATGTAAGCGATTTGCCACCACTACTCTAACCATGCAACCAAGTTACAGCATCACTGAAGAGCAGAGATAACTTGCTACAGATACTGCATTGGACAGAATAATCAGGACAGGAGTAGTTCAAGAAGACTTCTTCCTTCCAGCCCAGACAAGATTAACCAACAGAAAATGTGGTCTCTACCTATTAAGTATAGGGCGAAAGAAATGAAGCGGTGGTATTTGCTGAGAATTCGCAGGGGCTCCTCTCTCTGAACCAGGGTGAAGAAATAATCTGTCACAGTCTCACCATAGAAAAAGTAGTTTACGCAGAGCAGGAAGTACCTGTGAAGGATGCAGACGCTTGTTAGCAGGAGCCCTAAAAGGCTTCTGGAGAAACACAGAAAGTGACTGATCCCTAAGGTCTTTACAATGTTCTGGTACACTGCAAACAGGCTATCTTCAAGTGACAGCCACAACTTTATTTCCCCCAGTTTAGAAATGTCACGTTCATTTAAACTAGTGGCTGCATCACTCAGCTCCACTTTGCGATGGATCACACCATCCAGGTTCGGTTTTGGCCTTCTAGTGCACAAGGACTTTCTGCCTTTAGGTGGCACTCCTCAACAGGCCTCTGCGAGCTTCTGCATCCTAAAAGTACACGCTCCAAGTACACGCTCCGTGCTTCCTGAAAGCATTGTTCCTGCCCTCTTCCCCAGCCCGTGTCCCAACGTTCAGCCCTGTTTCACAACCACCTAAAAACTGCCATCCCAGCCAAGCAACCATGTCCATCTCTAAGTGGTGATGCCTGTCAATGCTGTCCCTTGCACAGATCATGGGATTCAGATCTCTGCGCTTCATTAACAACAGGACAAACTTTATCAATACAGGCTCTTTCAAGATATCGATCTATCAAGATTTGTGGGGGTTTTTCATTTACAAGAGCTGCTAACACATAACACTGGTCAACACACAGCAATCCCCTGGTCTCTGGTTTGGAGGTAGCCAGATGATCCCTTTGCTGCCTGTCTGCAATGAGATGAAGCATTACTGCTGCACACAAGCCTGGGGAGGGGAGCAGCCCCTGTACTTGGCACTGGTGAGGCTGCACCTCGAGTTTAGGTTTGATATTAGGAAAAACTTCTTCACTGAAAGGGTAGTCAGGCACTGGCACAGGCTGCCCAGGTAAGTGGTTGAGTCTCCATCCCTGGAGGTATTTAAAAGACAGATAGACGTGGTGCTTGAGGACATGGTTTAGTGGTGGACTTGGCAGTGTTAGGTTAACGGTTGGACTTGATGATCTTAAGGGTCTTTTCCAACCTAAGTGATTCTATGATTCTACTCACCAGCTGAGCGTCCTGAACCAGGGCAAGTCATATGAGTGGTACACATTATAGCCAATAGTGATAATCTCATGGAAACATTTGATCTGGACACACATCACCTGCACAAAAAGACATCCAGAAGCTGTAATACATGTTGGTTAAACATCTCTTTCCTCAAGGAGATAAAAAACATGCATGGGCAGAGCAAAAGGTACCTAAGCAGTCACTATCAGTCTGGCAGGAGTCTCCTAATCCAACATAAGAAGCTCACCATGTTGTTTTGCCCTCCCCTTTCCTCTGTAGGAGGTTTCTAACAACCCCTTGTATTAGTTTCAATTGCAGCCAAATACTGACTGCCAGGGCAGGCGGTCAAAGATTCCTTCCAGGCTTTCTCCATGAAGAGAGAAATCTAGCAAGCTGAATAAGGACCTCTAAAATATGAGGCCCTGAGCTGCCCACCCCAGCAATGGTCCCAGCAACCTTCCCCCTTATCACTCTGAATGTCAGGGCATCTCTCTGGAGCACTTACTATCGTCATTAAGACCATGGGTCCCAAGTAGATGATGATGAAGAAGAAGGTGATCATTGCCAGTGTGAGGATGCCTCTTACCCACCAATTCTTCCATCTAGGCCATAGAGA